TTTTCTTGCCGACAATTTTTCCTTAAAAAGCCAAGATTCTTTGTTTTGTATTGTTGAAGTTAAATGTTTAATAAATTTGTTGTCTAATCGAAGTTTTAAATTTACATTATCGACAAGAATCTTGAATTTTTGTAGAGAATCTTTTGATAATGAATCACAATATTTATTGATTTCTTGATTCACCAGGTTCTCAAACCATTCGGGTTCTTTGTAAGATAATGATAAAAGTAATTCCAAAGATTTAAATTGAATATAATCAAATTGAGATTTTTTCAATACTTTTAAGCCCAAGTGATAAAAAAAAGTTAAGATGGATGGTTGTGAAATTTTATGACATAGATTTTGAGCAAAATCTAATATTCCAAACCATAAAAAATAAGGTAAGTCGGTAAGTCTATATTCGATGAAAAGACTTGAAAAATCCTCTTGACTGCCTAAAATTTCCGAGACGTCATCATCTAATTCGTTTTGATTAAGATCCGGATCAAAAATATATTGCCAAAGAAATTCTAAAATATAAGCCTCGTTGTGATGTTTTAGAATACTATGATTTGAATCCCTAATTAAATCTTCTAAAGAATAATGGATAAATAAGAACTCTCGCCATTTTAGATACCATTTAGGTATGGAATTATTAAGATTAGAAAAACCATTGAGTTTTGGTAAAGTTTCGGTTACGGGTGATCCACCTAATATTTCCAGAATATTTACGGACGAATCACCATTAGGAATAGTACGAATGAGTGATAAAAGAAAATCTTTTCCTTGCTTTAAGAATTCATCAGAACGTGTTTTATTATTACGTATACTGTGTAAACTATCACGTAAGTGGATCAATAAGAAATTAACATTATAATTTTGAAAATGTAAATAATTGTCACCGGCGATATCAAGATCAACCTCTTGCTTAAAATATAACGTTATATGGTAATGAATGTCAATGAAGCTAACTAAACTACTATAAAGTTTATCATAAAATTCCTGGTTCAAAAAAATAGAAGCTATAGAAGAACAGACCACTCTTTCAAGAGTTGCCACCCAAGTACGAAGATGTAATTCAAAATGTGAAATGATGTCTTCCGTATAATAATCAAATAAGGAGACATCACTTAAAAGTTTAAGTGCGTTGATCAATATTTTTGATGGAAGCTTTAACCTAAGATCTTCAACTAAAAGTTTAAAACAATATAAATTGGACGGATCGCTAAAATCTTTCATCAAATCTTTAGCCTGAATAACGGCTGCCTTTGTATCATCAAGTTTTTCTGTGTCTGAGATGAAAAGTGATCCATCTGAATTATTACGAGAATGTATTATCGGCTATCGGAAATATATTTTCACTTAGTAGGATTTCATATCTTTAAGTTTTAAATAAAAAAATACTTTTATGTAACATATGATTTATTCTTACTTTCGATGTATTCGATCCTTGGACGCTACGTCTTTCTTCCATTTTGTTTTTAAAGCAAAATCAATAACTTTGAGATAATATAGAAATCTTTTTATTATTAAGAAATACGGAAAAAAAAAGTGAATATATTTTAAAAAATCTCGAATATTCTGATTATTCAAACTATTTTCTGTAGCTCCGGGATGCATGTTTTTTTTTCATAATACGCCATGCAGAATGTTATTCTTGATACACTATTTCAGATAAACAGCCTTTTAATAATCCTTATAAGGATCTAAAAAGGATATCAAGAACGATAATTTTGCTAGAATTGATTGTAATTCATGCATGATCAAGATGTTTCATATCGACAAGAACAATATGTGAAGATTGCACTAAAATTTAATAATCGGGAAATAAAAACATGCAGATCATGCAGATCATACTAAATTTCTCTAAAAATAAAATGCGAAACACCGAAATACCCGAAACCCTCAAGACCAAACTTGGGAGAGTAGAATCACATGACAATAAACCAATAAGGAGATCGATCACTCTTTATAAGCACCAATCACGAAACTGTATAATGAGCTGTATAAACTTTAAATGTTTTCCAAATTTATCAATATCTCATTGCTATTACTGTATTATAAGTGCATAAACAAACATTTTAAGTTTTATTGTCGGTGCCAAACGTATGACGTTCTACTAGAGAGGACGTACGTACGTACGTAAGTAGCTGGTAGTAAAAATATATTATTTATTTTTTGTCTGAGGTGAAACGAAGGATGTTCTATAGAAACTAAGCGGTATTAGTAGAAACAATGTGTCCGACCGATGATCTGATTCTTTTTAGCTAGGGTTCTGTCATAAAGTTTTTGATATACCCAAAAATTTCGTACGTACACTAGTTTCCCAAAGCCCCAAATGCATGTCTAAGGGGCATGCTTTGATTACCGCATGAAAACTTTCTAATTTTATATACTGTAAAACAAAAACAATTCTCCCTAGATTAACGATGTACATTTCTTAATTTTTTTGCAATATTGCCGATTATAGAAATAGAACGAAGTTCGTAATAATTATTTGAATATAAGATGGTATTGATATGTTACACTGAAAATTCGATCAGAAAACGCAACTTGATATTTTTTTGCACTACTATCACTAAGTTGTTGGCTGAAAG